TGGAACAGACCATCAATTGCTCATAGGCAAGTTCAAGTTGAAGCTGAAGAAAATTAAAACAAATCTATGAGAGCCAAAGTACAACCTGGAGTATATCACACCTGAATTTAGAGACCATCTGAAGAATAGATTTGACACACTGAACATCAGTGATCGAAGATCAGATGAGTTGTGGGATGACATCAAGGACATCATACATGAAGAAAGCAAAAGGTCATCAAAAAGACATGGAAGAAAGAAAAGGCCAAAATGGATGTCAGAAGACACTCTAAAACAGGTTCTTGAACATAGAGTAGCTAAAGTGAATAGAACAGATGATGAAGTAAAAGAGCTGAACAGAGATTTCAAAGGATCAAAGGATGACTCAAGAAGACAAAATAAAGCATTAGAATGAAATGTGTAAAGAATTGGAGTTAGAAAACCAAAAGGGCAGAATACACTCAGCATTTCTTAAGATGAAAGAACTAAAGAAACAATTCAAGCCTTGAGTTGCATTATTGAAAGATTCTATGGGCAAACTACTGAGTGATGCAGGAAGCAACAACAACAACAAAGATGGAAGGAATATGCAGAATGCCTGTACCAAAAAGAATTGGTTGATGTTCATTCATTGCAGGAGGTAGCATATGATCAAGAACTAATGGTAGTGAAGGAAGAAAGCCAAGCTTCACTGAAGGAATTGGTGAAAACAAGTCTCCAGGAATTGACAGACTACTCGCTGAAATGTTTCAACAAATGGATGAACTCTGGAAGCGATCACTCAGCTACCTGGACAACCAACTGGAAGAGATCCATATTTTTCCCATTCCAAAGAAAAGTGATCCAACAGAACGCAGAAGTTATAAAAAATATATATCATTAATATCACACACAGTGAAATTTTGCTGAAAATAATTTAAAAAGGTTATGGCACTACATCAACAAGGAACTGCCAGAAATGCAAGCTGGATTCAGAAGAGGATGTGAAATGACAGATATCATTTGCTGATATCAGATGGACCTTGGCTGAAAGCAGAGAATACCAGAAA